ACTAAGACTACTACTAAGACTAAGACTACTACTACTAAGACTACTAAGACTACTACTACTAAGACTACTACTACTAAGACTAAGACTACTGCTAAGACAACTACTAAGACTAAGACTACTAAGACTAAGACTACTAAGACTAAGACTACTAAGACTAAGACTACTAAGACTAAGACTACTACTAAGACTAAAACTACTAAGACTAAGACTAAGACTACTACTACTAAGACTAAGACTACTAAGACTAGGACTACTGCTAAGACAACTACTAAGACTAAGACTAAGACTAAGACTAAGACTAAGACTACTACTAAGACTAAGACTACTACTAAGACTAAGACTAAGACTACTAAGACTAAAACTACTAAGACTAAAACTACTAAGACTAAGACTACTACTAAGACTAAGACTACCACTCTGGGAACCAGCTTCCCTTCGATACCCGGGAATCCCTTCATCTAGTTGTCGTTTCGTGCTCATTCGTGCTCAATTCATAACGAAGGGCTGAGGGGCCTTCAGAGCATATCGACGGAGTTCGGCTGAAATGGCCACTTAGCATGCAAAAGCCCTGTAATATCGCCATGCCAGTGATTGTTTTAATTACTTATGACTTTACAAATACTCCAAACATAAGGTTTCGTTCAGTCTGCGCTTGTCCCAGAATGAAGGGCTGTAGGGCCCTTCAGAACATACAAATGCACACAGCATCTGTTCGCAAGTCCAGCTTTCTGTTGAAGATGTAATAATAGCTAATAAAGATGGCCCCTTCAGCTAAAACATATCCACGTTACCTCTACCGCGGTCGACTGTATGCGTTGTCGAAATTTCAAATTACGTGTGTGTCCTGCGGACGCAAGTATCATAGCAAGTCTCATGCATATAATCACGTCATCACGCATCAGTGCGTCCAGCCTCATGGTGGTAATAATGGCACAGAGCTTTTTGTCCTCGATGCCGTGGCTCCTAACGAGATGATCGCTGGACGCAGTGAGGAATTGCTGCAATAATTGCCAGCTACTATGTATGGTTAAAATTGCGACGTCCAATATA